TGGCTACTCAAAAAATTTAAACACAGAATTATTCCAGGATCCAGTAATTCTACTTTTGGTATATACCCAAAAGAATTTTAAAAGGATCTCCAACAGTTATTTGTATACCTAGGTAAATAATAACATTATTCACAATAGCCAAAAGGTGAAATGAATTTTTAAAAATTCAGCATATACATATAATGGAATATTATTCATCCTTAAAAAGGAAGAAAATTCCAACATATGTCACAAATGAATGAACCTTGAGGACATTATGCTAAGTGAAATAAGCATGTCACAAAAGAACAAATACTTGTATTTGTATAATTCCACTTAAATGAGCTATCTATGGTAGTCAAATTCATGGAGACAGAAAGTAGAACTGTGGTTACCAAGGGTTGGGAGGTGGTGGTGGGTAGATACTTAGTGCTTAACAGATATAGAGTTTTAATTCAAGAAGATGAAAAAAGTTCTGAAGATGGATGGTGGTGATATTGCAAAACAAAGTAAATTACTTAATGCCACTGAACTGTACATTTAAAAATGGTTAAATGGTAAATTTTATCTTATGTATGTCTTATCACAAAAATGAAAAGGGGAGGAAAAGCAAAAGTCTATTTCAGACATACAAAAGCTGAAAGAATTCATCACCAGCACAGTATTTCATGTTGAACAATACCAGAAGAATTAAGACCACAAGAATTCTCTGGGTTATAACACAATTCCCAATAAATAGACAAGAATGTAAATCATCTAATGTATATTTTCTGATCAGAAATAGTAACTATGGATAAATATGAAAGAATTATTTCCTCATATTTAATATTAAACACTGGTTGCTTTTAAAAATAAGAACAAAGCATTGTGGGGTTTAAAACATACATGGAAAGAAAATGCATGACATCAATAGCACAAAGGCAAGAGAGAAATAGAATAAACTACTGCAAAGTCTTAATACACTTATGAAGTAATATAAAAGACTACCTTCATGATGTTAAAGATATTTACCAGAAGCCCTAAGGCAAACACGGACAAACAAAAGAAAGAGAGAGAATGAAAAACAGAACAAAGAGTCATATAGCAAATCAGCCAAAAAAGAAAAGGAAATAAAAAGTAATCATTTAAAAATCACTCAATCCACAAGAAGGTGGAAAGAGGATAAAGAGAAAGTTGGAACAGCTATATTCATATCAGACAAAGCAGATTTCTGAAAAAAGAATAGTACCGAAAGTAAAAGGAATCTTTTCACAATGATATAGGAGTCAACTCATCAAGAGGACAGTACAAGCCTAAGCATTTATGTATCTAATAATATCACTTTAAAATACATAAAACAAAAAAAGATAAAATTGCAAAGAAAAACAGACTACTCCAAAATTATAGTTGGAGATTTCAATTTATCTTCCTCAATAAATAATAAAACAAGTAGACAGAATCAGTAAAGATACAAAAGAATTGAACCACATTATCAACGAACTTTACCTAATTAGATTACAGATATTCCATCCAATCACAGCAAAATACACATTCTTCTCAAATACACACAAAACATTACTAAGATAGACTATTCTTAGTTATACAATAATTCTCAATAAATTTGATAGGACTCAAATCATATAAACTATTATTCACAAAAGCCGAGACACAGAACCGAGGTATCTATCAATGAATAAATAGAGAAAATATGAAGGAGTAGGGTGTATATACATATATATTTATTTAAATGGACTATTATTCAGCCTTTAATAAAGAAGTAAATGTTGTTACTTGCAACATGACACAATAGATGAACCTGAAGGACATTATGCTAAGTGAAATAAGTCAGGCCCAGAGAGACAAATGTTGAATTACCTCACTTTTTCAGATGTGGAATCTAAAGAAGTCAAACTCATAGAAGCAGAGAGTAAAATGGTGACTGTCAGAGACAGAAGGGTAAGGGAAATGGGGAATTGTTGGTCAGAGGGTACAAAGTTCCAGTTATGCAGGATGAACAAGTTCTGGAGAGCTAATGGACAGCATGGTAACTATAGTTAATAATATAGTGCTGCATACTTGAAATTTGCTGTCCAGGTGTGGTGACTCATGCCTGTAAACCCAACACTTGGGGAGGACAAAGTGGGAGGACTGCTTGAGGCCAGGAATTTGAGACTAGCCTGGTCAACAGAAGCTAAACCCTTTCTCTACCAAAAAAAAAAAGAAAGAAAGAAAAGAAAAAAAAAAATTTTTTTTAATTTGCTAAATGCTCACCACAATTTAAAAAAAGCTATGTTGCTAAATGTTCTCACCACAATTTTAAAAAAGCTATGTAAAGTGATACATATGTTAGCTTGATAAAGGCACTGCACAATGTAGATGCATACAAAATATCACATTGTAAATCTTAAATATGTACGATTTTATTTGTCAAATATACCTCTATACAGCTGGAAAAAACAAAAGTAATTATTTATTTTTTTTAAAATCATGTAAAATATATTTCTCTGACCACTATGAAATTAAATTAGAAATCAATAGCAAAAAAACCTTTGCAAAACTCCCAAATATTTGGCAACTAAATAATACAATTCCAAATAACACCTTGGTCAGAAAAATTAAAAGGAGAATTGGAAATTATTTTGAGCTTAATGAAGATGAAAACACAACATATCTAAATTTACGAGTATAGCTAAGACACCGTGTAGAGTACAATTTATATACATAAATATCTATGTAAGATAAAGGATTTAAAGTCAATGACCTTAGCTTTCGCCTAAATGAAATATAAAATAAGAGCAAATTAATTACAAGGTGAGCAAAAGAAAAATAAATAATAAAGATCAGAATGGAAATCAATGCAACAGAAAACAGAAAATTAATAAAACTAAATGATATTTTTTAAGAAAAGCAATGAAATTGACACACTAGCTATAATTAGTTTAAAAAGACAGACGACATCAATTACCAATATCAGGAATGAGTAATGTGAAACACTACAGATCCTACAAATATTTTTTTAAAAATAAGGGATAGTTATGGACAGTTTTACACAAATAAATCCAACAACTTAGGAGAAATGGCTAAATTCTCCTAAACATAAACAAAATAGGCCTATATCTACTAAAGATATTAAATATGTAGTTAAAAAACATTTCCACCAAAAAACTCCAAGTCCTGATGGAACACTGACCAATACAGTCAATGAAACCAGCATTACACTGACACCAAAAACAGATAAAGGTATTACAAGAAAAAACAAAAAAGCCAAAGACCAATAACAGAAGCAAAAATTCCTAACAAAATTCTAGCAAAATATATCTAACAACAACCCATAAAAATGATAATGCAACATAGTCCAGTAGGTTTATACTAGGAAAGCAAATTCAGTTTAACTGAAAAAAAAAAGGCCAGACGCAATGGTTCACACCTGTAATCCCAGCACTGTGGGAGGGAGAGGCAGGAAGATTCCTTGAGCCCAGGAGTTCAAGACCAGCCTGGGAAACATAGTGAGACCTCACCTTTATCCAAAAAAATAAAAAATAAAAAAATTAGCTGAGTGTGGTGGTACACACCTTTAGCTCAAGTTACTCAGGAGGCTGAGGTAGGAGGATCATCTGAGCCCAGGAGGTAGAGGCTGTAATAAGTCATAATCATGCCACTGCACTGCAGCCTGAGCAAAGAGTGAGACTCTGACTAAAAAACTAAATAAATAAATAAAATTTAATGTAGTTTACCATGTTAACAGACTCAAAAAAAGTATGATCATTTCAACAAATGCAAAAAAAGCATCTGACAAAATCCATCATCTATTTCTGATAACTCAGCAAACTAAGAATAGGTGGTAGAACCACCATGAAAAATCATTTGACAGGCAAGGAATTTGCTTATTAAAAAAATAAAAGAGATAGCTGGGCTCGGTGGCTCAGCCTATAATCCCACACCTTGGGAGGCTGAGGTGAGTGGATTGCCTGAGCCCGCGGGTTCGAGACCCGCCTGGGCAACTTGGTGAGACCTCACCTCTACAATAAATCAAAAAATTAGCCAGGCGTGGTAGCACGCGCCTGTAGTTCCAGCTACTTGGAAGGCTGAGCGGAAGGATCGCTCGAGCCCAGCAGGTCGAGGCTGCGGTGGCCAAGAGCAGCCACTGCACTCCAGTCTGGGCAACAGAGTGAGACTCCAACTCAAAATAAATAAATACATAAATAAATAAATAAAATAAAAGAGAAGCAATTTGGCATTTCTGTAAAGTTAAACAGATATCTACCATGTGACCTATCCAGTCCACTCAGTATTACCCAAAAGAAATAAAATATGACCATACAAGGATCTGTACACAAATGTTCATAGTTTTATTCGCAACAATCCAGATTTTCATCAACATGTGAACAAATAACAAAACGCATAACAATAGAAACTATATCAATAAAAAAGAGTAACCTATTTTAACAACATGAATGACTCTTAAAATAACTGTACAGAGTAAAAGAAATCAGACCAAAAAAAAAAAAAATAGCATATAGTATATAATTCCATTTATGTGAAATTCTAGAAAACGTAAACCAATCTACAGAGCCAGAAAGTCTGAGGACAAGAAATGAGGAAAAGGGTTTACAAAGGAGCATGAAGAAATTCTGGGACTGGGGTTGTTCATTATTGTGAATGTGCTGACGGTATCATGGGTATCTATGTTGTCAAAATGTATAAATACTATATGCTTTATGTTCTATTAATTTTACCTCAGAAAGTTCTTAGAAGAGTAGGATATTGATGAGAGCTACAACGTGAATGTACTTAATGCCACTGAACTATGCACTTAAAAATTATTTAAATGGTCAATTTTATATTACTTTTATTTTACTGCAATATTTAAAAGACTAAAAGAAAAACAGTAGGCTTACTGAATTCAAAACTGAAGCTAAAAGTGACAATGACTACAATCAGTAAGAGGATGAGTAAGAAATCTATATATCCAGGCGCTCTATTTCTTTGACATATGCTGCCATTTAATTAAATTGAATGTGAAGCTTTTTACAAGCTGTTACCTGTGAGATATGATTGACGGAAGACTCCATTCTCCGAAGCTGAGAGGCTTGGATGTCCAGCAATTGGAGTACATTGTTGGCCAATGCATTTATTTGATAAGCAACACTAGCTAGAGATTGGGTTGTATAGGCTTTGGTTTCTTCTAAAGCTTTTCTCTTGTCTGTAGCCTGAAACAAAACAAAACAAAAACTTATTTAGGTAAACAGTCACTAAACATATATTCTATAGAAAGGCAAAGTTATAATTATATTTTTTAATAGAAAGTCCAATTAAATCAAGACACTTAATGCACCAATCTAACTACAGTCACAAGACAATGGATTAAGTCATGACAGAAATCACTATCGGCCAGCTGGGAACTACTCTTTCCTGAGTAACCCATCCACCAAGAGCCATAAAAGGGCCATCAGGTAACTATAATCACAGTACCAGAGGCATGCTGTACCAGCTGGTTGCCTTGCCTAAACTCTCTCCATCACCAATACATTGTATCTTTAGGACTTTATTGTCAGCCCAAGGCTCCCAACCCACCAACAACGATACGACTAAATCCAGTCTATTTTATATTCCTGTTTCCACCAATCACCATTAAAAATCCAACCTCCTTGTGATCTATTAAAATCCAGTCTATCACTCCCACAAAAACCTCTGTGAATTTTTATGCCCCAATTCCTTTACCCACCTGTTCTTCCCAAACTCCTTGTACATAACTCAGTCAGTGAGAACTCCTCAAAGAAGAGCAAAGTTAGCCGGGCTCGGTGGCTCAGCCTGTAATTCCGCGCCTTTGGGAGGCTAAGGTGAGTCGATTGCCTGAGCCAGTGGGTTCGAGACCCACCTGGGCAGGTGAGACCTCATCTCTACAATAAATAAAAAAATCAACCGGGCGTGGTAGCGTGCACCTGTAATTCCAGCTACTGGGAAAGCTGAGGCGGAAGGATCGCCAGGTCGAGGCTGCGGTGGCCAGGAGCGGCCACTGCACTCCAGTCTGGGCGACAGAGTGAGACTCCAACTCAAAAAAAAAAGAAGAGCAAAGTTAAAAAACAAGTGATGTCTGTGGGTAGTAACTGGGAGAATCTGCAACTTATATCATAAAGACCTAAATACTGCAAATATCTAAAAGTAAAAAGGTCAAAGATACATTTTCAAAAATGAAATAGATCTAAAGGAGACAGTAAACAAAAAAAGGAATGCAACTATCCTTAACCACCTGAAAAGATGCTCAACTTCATTCATTACAGAAAAAAACAGAAAAGTCAGATTTAGGTAGTCAGCAAAGTTGTAGGGAAAACTCTAATATATTAATAGTGATATCCAGCAACGTCACATAGAGATTTATTTTCTAACCCAGCAAACTCACTTTTAGTCATAGATCTCAAAACATCACTGGCAAAAATACAAAAAGATATGTACATAGTTATTCACTGAAGCATTATCTGTATTAGCAGAAGACTGGAACAACCCAAACAACCATCAATATAAAACAGTTTAAATAAATTATGATTATCTCCGCACAACGATTACTACACTGCCATTATAAGGAATATTCAAGAAATAGCTCTATTACTACTACTCCACGACTTCCAGAATATTGCTAAGGTGAAAATAATAATGAGAAAAAAAGTTCATAAGAATTCCTTTTTTTTTTTTTTAGTAAGCATTTCACTCTGTTGCCCAGGCTGGAGTGCTGACACGATCATGGTTCACTGTAGCCTCCAACTCCTGGGCTCAAGCAATCCTCCTAGGTCAGCCTCCTCAGTAGCTGGGACTACAGGCCTGCACCACCACACTTGGCTAATGTTTTCGATTTTTTGTAGAGATGAGGTCTCACTACGTTGCCTAGGTTGGTCTCGAACACCTGGGCTCAAGTGATTCTCCTGTTTCTACCTCCCGGAGTGTTGGGATTACAGACGTGAGTCACTGCAACCAGCAAGAATTGTTTAAACAAATCTTGTTTTACATTTATACCTCAAAAACATTGTAGTTTTGGTTCAAGAACACCACAGTAAAGTGAACATCACAATAAAGCGAGTCACAAAAAACGCTTTTGATTCCCCAGTGTATATAAAAGTTATGTTTATACTATACTGTGGTATATTAAGTGTGCAACAGTATTACATCTTTAGAAAGAAAAAGAAAAAAAAACTATGTAACATGCCTTAATTTTAAAATACCTTTTTTTTTTTCTGAGTTGGAGTCTCACTCTGTCGCCCAGACTGGAGTGCAGTGGCC